ATTAGCTTTAAGTTCTAAGAATTACCAAGTCCAAAAGATAATCAAATGCTTACATTATCATTATGGAGGAAACATTTCCATGGTCTAAATGAAATGAAAACAAACATATAAACCATTTGTTGCTTACTAATTTGAGGGTCCATTACTTAACCAAGAAATTAGTCAACAAAAATAAGCATTCATTCATCTAAGCTCATGATCAAAGATAAATAAACACAAAAAGATGTTTAATTAGAAAACATTTCCATAAACTTCAAACACAAGATAATAATAAGTCTTCAAAACAACTAATCATCCATGGGTTAAACCTTAATCAACCAAATGAGAATTTAGCCAAGCATGACCAAAATAAAAGAAATACAAGGTAGTTTAGAAATACCAAACATTGTTCTAAGTGCAAGATGGAAAGAAATTACACTAGTCTTCAAAAATCTTCAAGTCTTCCAAAACCTTCTTGAGAGAAAAGTGAGTTGTTCTTCAAGTGATGTATGTGAATAATCTTCCAATCTCCATCAAAAAGGGCCTCATTTCCGGATTCAAAAAGGTCCCAAAAGCTACCCACCAACCTTCCACAAATAGGGTCAACAAGTCAAAACACGGGTTTAATTCTCCACTCTTCACGCGGACCGCGTGTGGATCCACGCGGACCGCGTGGGGCACGTTGAATGCATGCTTTGGCCCATTTCAAATACCATCCGGCCCAATCTTCTAATTTATGCTCTAGCCCATTTGTGCAAGTTCTTGATAGCCCAATTGTGTCATTCCAAAGCTCTTCCAAGATGCTACAATGCTCCTTTAATCTTCTATAGCTCGAATTCTCCTCGTCCCGCCCGAAATTTAAGTCTGACGCGCTTTCTTGTTTATGTTGACACCAAGCCCAGTTGCACCACTTCAAGTCCATGAACAAATTGCAAGTCTCCAGCAGTCTCGCACTCCTTCCACACCTCCAATAATAAAAAGTCTTCGATAAATCCTGCAATTAAGCTCGAAAGACTGGAAAGCACCCGGTAAATGAGAAAAATAACAAAAAGAGAAAATATGCATGAAGATTAACTAAAAATGAGATGGTTATGACGAAAAATAAACTATGAAAAGAAGTAATAAAAAACGAAACTATCAGTACCATATATTTAAATAGTTTTGTATAGTTATTATGAATATTATGATTGCAAAACATTGGAAGTTTATTTATTTGTCAAACGATTTCTTTATTTTATTAAGGGTTAATGAGTTATAAGGGCAACATAATTTATGTTTTGTTCACATTTAGTCCTTTAAGCTTTTTTTTGTCCACATATTATCATTGAGTTTGTTTGAATTGTTCACATTACATCTTTATGACCAGTTGGTGTAGGTTTTAGCTGGTTCAATTGTAATACGTGGACAAAAAAAACAGAAGATAATAAATGTGAACAAAACCTAAACTATATTACCCTTATAAATCATTAACCCAATTAAAAATGGATGGAACTTGTACTTTTAGATATACTTCATGGACCATGATTAAATATAAAAACATACATATTTTTTTCATCAACATTGTATTATAATTATTTTGCAAAAAAACACGCTAAAAGTTGTTGGCTCGTGATGTACAAATATTAGCCCAAAGTCCCCAACATTAGTTTAAAGCCATGAACTCAAATCTAGGCATATTAAGTCCAACGAGGTATACTTTTTGGATAGAGAGGTACTCAATACTAATATAGTAGTACTCTAATCTAGACATGCTTTCTGAAATGGTCTTGGATCGGTCAGAAATGGTATGGTTTTGTTGGTTGATGAGTCTGCGTAGTATTAGGTAGTTGGTCAGATAAAGGTTGACCAAACCAATGATGCTTAACTGGAATTGGTGTGAGAAGTCTGTCTGAATTGGCTCGACCCGGTTTGGAACCGGAAATAGTTAGACAAAAATGAAGTAGAAACAATAAACTACATGTTAAAAAAATCATGTCATTCTAATTTTAAACGAATGAGTTATGGCAGCTTAAAGAAGAGGGGTAGATTGTGCATAATACTGAAACAAAAAACAATTAAGCTATGATACCATGTGTTATGGGGCCTATAACTCAATCAATATGTAACAAAATAATGTGTTTCTATAATCAAAAATGAAGTACAAACATTAAACTACATGTTGAAAAAAATGTCATTCCGACTTCAAACAAAGAAGCTATGCCAGTTTAAAAAAGAGGGGTAGATTGTGCATAATGTTGAAATATAAAACAATTAAGCTTTGATACTCTATGTTTCGGGGATTGTAACTTAATCAATCTGTAACCAAATAAGGTGTTTATATACTATAAAATGAAGTACACACAGTAGACTACGGATTGAAATAAAAAATCATGTCATTCTAGCTTCAAACGAAAGAGTTGTGCCAGTTTAAAAAAGATGAAAGATTCAGTAGGATCAGGTTCAAACTTAAACACCTCTCATACGAGCTAGTAGACATATAGTTTATAAGCATAGAGGACAATCGGAGTTGTCAAATCATAAATATATAATGTGAACAGTTCAAACAAATTTATATGGATGTAATGTGAACGTTTCAAACAAGTTCAATGGTAACATGTGGACAAAAAAAATATGAGACCAAAGGTGAATAAAACCTAAACCATGTTACATACACCAATCGGTCATAAAGGTGTAATGTAAACAGTCAAAACAAGTTCAAAGGTAATATGTGAAAAAAAAAACTTAAAAGACTAAATGTGAACAAAACATAAACTATGTTACACTTATAAGTACTTAATCAATATGTAACCAAATAAGGTGTTTATATACTCTAAAATGAAGTACACACAGTAGACTACGGATTGAAAAAAAATCATGGCATTCTAGCTTCAAACGAAAGAGTTGTGACAGTTTAAAAAGGATGAAAGATTCAGTAGGATCGGGTTCAAACTTAAACACCTCTCGTACGAGCTAGTAGACATACAATTTATAATCATAAAGGACAACTGGAGTTGTCAGATCATAAATATATAATGTGAACAGTTCAAACAAATTTATATGGATGTAATGTGAACGGTTCAAACAAGTTCAATGGTAACATATGGACAAAAAAAATTTATGAGACCAAAGGTGAATAAAACCTAAACCATGTTACCTACACCAATCGGTCATAAAAGTGTAATGTAAACAGTCAAAACAAGTTCAAAGGTAATATGTGACAAACAAACAAACAAACAAACTTAAAAGACTAAATGTGAACAAAACATAAACTATGTTACCCTTGTAAGTACTTAATCAATATGTAACCAAATAAGGTGTAATGTAAACAGTCAAAACAAGTTCAAAGGTAATATGTGAAAAAAATAATAATAAATAAATAAATAAATAAACTAAATATGAACTAAACATAAACTATGTTACCCTTGTAAGTACTTAATCAATATGTAACCAAATAAGGTGTTTATATTCTCTAAAATGAAGTACACATAGTAGACTACAGATTGAAAAAAAAATCATGTCATTCTAGCTTCAAACGAAAGAGTTGTGACAAATTAAAAAAGATGAAAGATTCAGTAGGATCGGGTTCAAACTTAAACACCTCGCGTACGAGCTAGTAGACAAACAATTTATAAGCATAGAGGACAATCGGAGTTGTCAGATCATAAATATGTAATGTGAACAGTTCAAACAAATTTATATGGATGTAATGTGAACGGTCCAAACAAGTTCAATGGTAACATGTGGACAAAAAAAATTTATAAGACCAAAGGTGAATAAAACCTAAACCATGTTACCCACACCAATCGGTCATAAATGTAATGTAAACAGTCAAAACAAGTTCAATGGTAATATATGGAAAAAAAAAGATTAAATGTGAACAAAACATAAACTATGTTACCCTTATAAGTACTTAACTCTTTTATTAATTATTTACATTCATGATAATTAAGTTAGGGGCTCTTTAATTTTTTACAACCTACTATAATCATTATTTGAATGATTTAACATGTGTATGTCTTGCTACTTTGACATTTCGTCTCTTTTACCATTCCCGTATACAAATGTCAGATGTCATTTATGTGACACATCACTGTATAGTCTATCTCATTATAAAGACATAAGACCATTGGGTGTGGGCACGTTATGGCTCGTTATTGCCGACGTGTCTGCACCTTAACGCCATGAACATGGGAAACACCGCCCTCTAGCCGTTATGTGATGCTCCGTGGTGTGGCAACGAAATGCAAAAGGAGTTATTCCATTGTTTTTCTTCTTTAATTTACCTTACAATGGCGTTGCGAACCTTGAAGCACCACCCCTGAAAAAGTGTGGTGGAAAGATGAAGAGGGTTTATGCCTATGTGACCTTTCAATGGCGTTTAATTTCCTTGCCCATACCGTGCAGTCTAATTGTTGACATTTACCTATTCTTTCCCATTCTAATGAGATTTATGAGATATGCTGTTATTGTTGTTGAGCATTCAAAACATTGGTAACATTGTTATAATTATTACAACTACTATATTGTAAGCACTATTAATTAATTAATACATTCATTTATCAATCTTGTTTATTTATTTTGTTAAATTACTCTTATTTGAATTTATTCATGATATGCATGTTCCTGGTGTTTTTCATGTTCAACAATCACCATCACCATCACCATGATCACGCGTCAACAACCACCACACAAACTTCACAAATGTTCGAGTTTTTCATGTTATTGATGCTCATATGCAAAAAAAAATCAAGAAATTTAGAAGACTCCAAAGACAATAACTTTAAGAAAAACAAAATTTAATGTAAAAACTATAACCCAAACACGATCAAACAAAGTTCACCACCACAAATCATAATGAACGAATTGATTACCATAATAATCTCAATCGCCACATCAAAAACAAACAAAGTACAATCTCAAAACCAATTCTTGTTTATATCCTCATTGCAAAAAACAGCAAAATTTAACTCCAAGAACATCATGAAGAAGCATCTTTACTTGAAAATTAAAGAATATGTGAAAGAAGCATCTTTACTTGATCTTCATAGAGCTCTACGACCTCTTTGTCGTCTTCTTGAAATCCCCATTGCCTTAAAACCTTTAACAAACCTCTGCAATTCATCTTTCTTGTGTAGTGACATACCCACAACAGCAGCACCACTGCAAAAACCTAACACCCATTCAGGAACACATCCATTGCGAAGCAACACCAAGAGCATTGACAAACACAGCGCCCCTAACAATACATCGCTCTTTAATTCCAATTCTCCACCCAAAATCAACGCCCAAAACCCTAAACAGCAAACTGTCGCAAACCCCCAAAACCAAAACTGTGATTTCCGGTTAACCCTCCTTTTTCTCCCACCACCGCCGTCGAATCCTCCCCATCCGAATCCATTCCACGAGCCGCCTGACCCACCGCTGCCTGACCCGCCTCCGAATTCCCTCATCACGGAATTCAATGGCTCTGGTAAGACGTAATGGAGATTCGATGCCGCGAAACGGACAAATTGAATTAGGGTTTTTCTGGATCGTTGAGATCCGAAGAGCCCTTTATTGCTGCTCCTTGCACATGTGATTATAGGTTTATGGGAGTGAAATCTATTCGGATGTACATAGGGACAACAGGTTTTCAAAGAGAAAGAGTTCTTTGGAGAAATTGGATCAAAAATGAAGGAATTTGGGAGGCGAAATTGATGAGACTGCGTCATAGCTGTCATCGATTCTTGAGAGGAATGTTAAGTATTTTGAATTTTGATTGATTTCTGTGAGCAAAATGCCACCATTTGTGGCCCTCGCTACTCTCGAAAGGAAAGGTTGAATTTCAATGCTCAAGGCTCCAAAGCGCCACTTGCACATAGATGCTTAATGCTTGTGGCGGTTGTATATTTGAGGGGTTTTAAGTAAAGAATGTTTGTGGTTTTATTTTTCTCAAAAATACAAAAATATTAATTTAACTATTTTTAAATAGTTATTATAAAATATTTATTTAGTTCGTATACATGGTATTCACAAAATTTCATTAAAATTATTTTTCTAACGAAAAAATTATGTCGCACACACTTTGCAAAATCATCTCTATTCTCGTAACAAAATCACTTTTAACTCCACCAATATATATTCTGCACCGTACCTCCATTTGCAGTTAAACATTCGTCAAATTATATTTGGTAAATAATTGAACTTAACGCTGTCAAAATAACATATATTCGGTCCCCACATCTGCATTTACAATTGAACATTTGTCAAATTACATTCTGTATTGTCGACGATTATGTGCAGTGTCGAAGACTATAGTATTTAGATCCCATAACCTTATGTTTGGTATCCACGACTTCAAATTCTATCAATTGACTTTTTAAAACTACAAAATATGTTTTTATGATAAATATTTTTGATTAATCGAAAATTGTTCACACTTATATTTGGTAAGATCTAACGACGACGTTGTCGCAAAACTAAAATATTTTTTGTCAACGATTATGTACGGTGTCGAACAATATAATATATTCATTTATCATAACCTTATGTTCGGTATCAAGAATTTCAACTTCTATCAATTGTCATTTTAAAACTGATAGATTTTTTTTTATGATAATTGTTATTGATTCATCGAAAATCGTTCATAGTTTATAGCTATTACTAATAGAAAATAAGAAAACATCAAAAAATTATGAATAAAATAAACATCTATTACATCAATTGTTGATTACAAAAACATTTTCATCATGTTCCCAAAAAAAAAAAACTAAACATCAACTAAAATCTTTCGCTCCGTAATTGAGTTAAACATCCAACAAAACCCTCATGGTCTGCAAATATGTGTTCTTTGTATCGATGAACAACACTTTTAATCACAAGTGCTTAGGTGAACTTGACAGATCTTTGATTTCCTCCAACATTTTATCCTTCGCTTCATAGTCTTTACTAACATCATTAAAAACCTTCATGATCTTCTCTTTTGACATTTTTTCGTTATTGAGAGCAATCTGTAGCACATTTTGAATGTTTGTCAATTTATCGAGAGCAGAGGTTGCCATTTTTCGGAACCTAAATGTTACTGAGAAAAGTAATCAAATTAGATAAGGTTAATTTAAAGATTAAAACTACAAAGATGACAAAAATATATCGAAAGGTGTATCAACTTCTTCAAATGATACAGAATATCATAACACATTTGGCAACTTAAAAGACTCAATGTTATTATCATTATTCTTTAAGATAGCTCTCGCTACAACCTTTCACTTTAACCGGGCATAGACCCTCTTTCCTAATTCATCTACTGGTCTTATCTTATAAGCACCGGATTGAGAGAAGGACTGTCTGGCTTGACTTTCTCAAACATGATATTATTTGTATTTTTTTACCGGGATATTTTAAAAAACCAAAATATTATTTGTAGCAAACTGTATCACCATCTTAAACGTCAAATAATAATCACCATTTTTATCATAACGCGGCTTGACAACTGAAAAAGCTCGATGTATTGATGACTACTCTATAACATAATAACATGGGATAATGTGTAGATTTTGTCGGGATTTGTTTAAATCACAAAATGTTACCACGAAAGAACATGAAAACATATGGACCATTCATGTAAATTTAGAATAATTGGTTAACGGAGGATCTGCTAAAAACTAACGAAAGTGACTTAATTGAGATGTATAGACATATAGTATAAGTTAAATTGCCTATTGCGCAAAAAAAATGTCAAAATGGGCCAAACACCTAAGTTGATTGTGCTACACTGACATTTTCCCATTAATAATAAATGATTGAGTTGTTACCTTGCAGTCACAGTCTACTAAACCTCAATTGAACCGGTCTGGTCGGTTAAAAGTTAAATATTAGACAAAACTACAAAAAAGGTGTTGGATTGGGTGTTTAAGCCCATAACTATTCTTGGTATGTACTTGACCCGATTATGAGCATTGTCCTTTTAGGTTGTCTTCACTCATGCAACTTGATAGGATAACAAGCGGAGAGATAGTAGAATTTATTATGTGAATAATAAATTCGTACTCAAAAAGGTTTTAGTAATATATTACAAGATTTATATATTATTTGGAAATCATATTATTTAATTAGTATTGATCAGAAATTAATTTGGTGGTCAATAGAGACTGATTAAATAATTGGGGACTGTTATGCACATCATTGATAGTTGTATAAATAGGCTGATGGACTTCATAGAGTGGAGTGGACGAAATTTATGGGGAAGCCCATAAGATTTCGTCCAAGGGCTCTAACCGGTCCATGGGCTTAGGGGTGTTCGTTTGGATGGATCGATTTGATCCGATCCAATCAAGTGAATCCAAATTGATTTCGGTTTTCAAAACATGGATCCGGATAGTCCAAACTAAATTCAAATATGATCCGATCCGATCCAATTACAATTCGGTTGGATCGGTTTTTATAATTCGGTTTTCAAAAACCGAAACATTTTAAAACGAAATATAATATAATGTTACTGAATTTTACCGAAGAAGCGAAAACAAATTATTTGGTCGTGATTTGAAATTAATAAACAACTACTAAGAAGGTATATTATAGTTAAATAATTTATAGATATAAAACTTTTGAGAGAAAATGCATATCAATGTTTTTTATCGGGTGAAACGTTTTGAACCTATTTGAAAAAATAACTATATATATATATATATATATATATATATATATATATATATATATATATATATATATATATAATAAATGTTTAATCGGTTTTTTTAGACTATTCGGTTCTTATTTTATAAACCAAAACCGACCCGAAATCCAAAATAATAATTCGGTTTTGTTGAAAACCAATCCAAAAATCCGAATATCCGAACCGATTAGTCCAATCCAAATTGTCCAATTGGACAATTCGGTTTTATCCAAATAGTGAACAGCCCTACATGGGCTGCTTAAGGATTAAGCAGTCATATTAGGGTTTCCACCTAAAACCCTAGCAGCTACAAGTATAAATAGACCCCATGACCAAGGGATTTTCGTCCAAGGCTTAAGAAATCCTAGAGTGGTCGAAATCTCCTCTCTCCTACTTCATCCTTTGCATAGAGTGTTTATGACTCCATTAGAGGTGTAACACTTGGGGCACTAAGCTTTCAAGAGTCAAGGACTTTGTGGATTGTTCTTGTTATTGCTACATAACAAGTAAGGTAAGATTCCAAACCCTTATTTACATATGAATTTCGTTCATTGACATGTTAGATTAGGGTTTATGCTTTGGAAGATTGTTTGCATGTATAACTTGAGGAAAACCTAGATCCAAAGCATTAGGGTTGCATGTACACCATAAGAATGATGTTATGCTCAAAACCCATCAGTGGTATCAGAGCCTAGGGAAGTTTTTCTATTATATGATGCAAAAGTTAAGTTTTCAAAACTGAAAAAATTGCGAATTTCGAATCTGACCAAACTCACGTCGTGAACACAGTGTGTTCACCTCGTGAACACAGTCTGACAACACAATTTCAAAATTTTTGCCCTAATTTGATTTGGATAATTACCATAAATTGTTTTTCCAAACTAAAATCATATTTTTCTATTATGGTAATTGATATCCTAATCAAATTAATAGATAATTGTCAAATTAAGATAATTACTTGTTTTATAAGATAAAGATTAATCATTTGTATTTTGATTAGAATTATCTTGTAAGAAAAATAGATTAGGTTAAATTATGTGATAATTATTTAATTATTTTTTTAAATTTGATCTAAAAGATATTTTGAAAAAGTTTCAAATTACACCTTTTAGGTTTTATAGTTTAAATTTGAACTTAAAAGTTTTAGTTTTTGAAATTTAAATAGTTAAACCCTAATATTTTGAAAGGTTTCAAAATTTGTCTTCAAGTTTTGGAATTTATAATTTAATTAAATGGTATTAATTTTGAAATATTAAATTCTAAAACCCTAGTGTTTTGAAAAGTTCAAATTACACCCTTATGGTTTTATTAAATTAATTAAGTGTTTAATTAAAAGAGAAAATTAATGAATCCATAATAATATGGTTTAAGATTAATAAAATTAAAAGGTTAATTTATTAATAGATTAAACCACCTAGTATTTTAAAAGTGTAAAATACACCTTTATACTATTTAAAATTAAAAGTCTAATATTATATATGTATGAGTTAAAAGTCAGTCTTACCGTTAGTAGGCCTCATTCACGAAGCTGGTCTATAAGGGGTGTTTAAGGAAGCGGCCTGTAAAATGACCGCCATTGGGTATCCACTCTTACCCACCGCACTCTTGACTAGTAGAGGGTCGTTAGCCGAACGGGTAGGATAGGACACAACCTTCTATTATAAGTATAATGAAATACGAAGGAACTAAACACTTTTACAAATTCCCAAATCCTAGTTACTTTAAGAAAAATGTGGAATTGGTGCTAATCCATGAAATTACACATTGCACCTTGTTGGTCGTTAGTGGAGCGTGTGTGGTTAACCGGCACACTAATATGGGACCAATGAAGGATGGCAATGGGTTTTTCGTAAGATTATCATTGATCAATGGAGCGTGTGTGGTTAACCGGCACATTGATTGGGTGGTGATCGACATCGAGAGTACCAAGCTAATTTGCATGGTTATTCACACCTTGTTTGTGATCCTCGGCATCCCAGTCACAAACTTGAAGGGCATAATCGATATTAAACATGTCATTGAAAGGTTCAATGAATATCAAAAGAACTAGGAGTTTCAGTTCATTTAAAA